GAGAGTAAGAAAAAAAATGTGGTTCTTACTATCATTGCAGGGCGTTTGCCGGTCCAATGATATAGCTAAAGGGAATAGTGATTCCGGACTAGCATAAATAGTACTTGAAAAAAAGAAGCGTAAGAAAAAAAAATTGTTCTTACTATCATTGCAGGGCTTTGTGCCGGTCCAATGATATGGCTATAGGGAATAGTTGCTATTCCGGACTAGCAAAAACAGTACTTGAAAAAAAAAGAGAAAATAGAAAAAGCTACAGACTAATCATTCCGATCTAACATAAAGATGATTAAAGTTTTGTAGAGCTTACTGCCGGAACAAAACTGACTGTCTCCCATGTCTGAAGGGTCAATATAGACCGGACCAGACGCTGTTATGTCAGGATAGTCGAACGTTGTTTTTATTGTCTACAGATAACTAAAATTGTGATGGAGCGCGTGCGAGGACGCACGCATGTCAGTATGGCCGTGACGGCACCTGCACCGTTGTAGGTGCGGTGGCGTCGGTCTAGCTAGACAGAATTCTTGTAAATGACACGTGTACCGCACACCTGCTGCATTGCACCTGCGTTGCCACCCGTCCTGCTTGTATAAAACGGACGGAGCGGCCGCCGTTAATACAGTCTTGGCTCTGACGTGGAACGGTGCGCTTGTCGTATTCCCTTACTAGTTTATCCTCGACTCGTTGGATAATTAATTCGTGTAAACGAATTAATTATTATTCCTAACTACAAAATTAGTCTCTGTACTATACTCAATTACCCTTCCTACATATTCTTAATATAGCCAGCGAATCAATAACTGTACGAACATTGTTTATTATCAATAGACAGGGAGGCTGGGTACCACCTGCTTGGGATCCTGTAATTAATAGAATTAAAACTAAACCCAAACATACCACTGCAAGACTTCAAGACACAGTAAGTACACTTTGAGTAGATCGGACCAAAATTAATAATAAAAAAGCTGAAGATACTCCGGGTTAACTCTGACATCGAGACGTAAATCACTTCAGTCCCACGTGACCATGAGATGTTGTAAAGCACCCGAAACATCGGGAATTAATAAAAATAAGTAAAACAAGTTATTTAAACGCGATAAAATCCGTAAAAGTAGTTTTATTCAATATTATCAAGATGTCTTAATATTAAAAGCAAATTATAGCCTTTACATACCACAGCTGGGAACAGGCATTCGCAAATTTATAAGAGGGTTATAAATATGTAAAGTAAAGTACATACCAATATAAAATGAATTACCGTGTAGTAGTGTTGTAAGAACACCCACTACCCCATATCGTCAAGTGGGTGTCATAAGAAGCGACATAGGGAAACAAACCAGGCGATGGGTAGCAGCGTGTTCCTAACAAAAACAAGAAAAAAAACCCGTCCTCCAAACGTAGATACTATAGAAAATGTCTTCCTTATGACGCAATCTATGGGTAGCCTATGCTTAGACATGGACTTTGATAGGCTGTAATGAATGAAAAATGGAATGATTAGCCTCTGCGTTGCCCCAGAGCGTATTATGGACTTCACATGTCTTCAATATATGCTTGTATTTTTAAATACCATCCCGATACCATCCACACCATCTAGGTGATTGGCGGTCCACCACTGTGCGATTTAGAAGATGTTTTCTTCCTCACACAATTTCCTTGTGGAATAGTTTACCACCAGCGATTTTTCCGGACCGATACGACTTAGGGACCTTCAAGAAAAGAGCCTACTCCTTTTTAAAAGGCCGGCAACGCATCTGCAATTCCCCTGGTGTTGCGGTTGTTCATGGGCGGCGGTAGTCACTTACCATCAGGTGAGCTGCATGCTCGTTTGCCCCCTCTCCTATAAAAAAAATATAAGAGGGGGCAAACCCAAATAAGTCCATAAGTCGTATCAGTCCGAAATTATAAGAAATATAATATAAAATAAAATATTATTCCTTGTCGATACGATTAAGGGACATCCTCAGAACAAAAGCCTACTTTTTTTAAAAAGCTTAAAAAGGTTATCTTACGATATTTATCTTACTGCCGGGCACGTGGAAAATCCGCACTTAAAATAAATGCCGACGGGGAACGAACTCGGTTTACTCGCATACTGCGAAATTTATGGTGAGCGCTTAACTTCTATGCTCTTACGGCTCTAAATAATTAATAATTGAATGCAATTTAGTATGTGTTTTTTTTTAAATTTTTTATACGTAGAAGAGCCACGATGAAGCTACATTATACTTGGAGCATAAATAGATCGGCTCGACCGGGGAAGCGATACGTTCTCACAGAATATCAGCATCAAATAGAACCTTAATGCTGCTGTGTTTCGTATGGTGAGTGTAGAGAAACGGAGAACTTTTTTTTGGAATTTGAATTAATTTCAAATTGAAATAGGAATTGGATTATTTTCAGACGCCAAATTTCACAAACTCACATCGCGGCAAAATTCCCGATACCATCCACACCGTCTGGACGTTTGGTTTTATTACTAGGAGTTTATTTACTAGGAGTTTTCTTCTCCGCTCGACTTCTGTGTAGAATCTTTTAGCACCGACGAAATTTCCGGACAAATATGACTAAGAGACCTTCAAGAAGCGAACTTACTTCTATTTTAAAGGCCAACAATGCAGCTATAGTTCCCCTGGTGTTGCAGTTGTTCGTAGGTGACGGTCACTTTCCATCAGGTAAGCCGCGTACTCGTTTGTATTATATTCCTCCATTTTATATTAAAAAAAAACAATCAATATGTGTTTCCGTTGATTACTTTCGGAAATAAAACGCTCTTAGTCATACGAGGAAGCTCAAAGTCAGTCGGCGTGCAATGGAAAAGGCTATGCGATAAAGTCCGTAACGAGAATATCCGCAGATGAACAAGAGTAATTGACGTAGCCCAGCGGATTAGTAACTTGAAGTGACAATAGGCAGGTCATATATTTCGAAGAAACGAAAACCGACGAGGAAGATAGATTTTAGAGCAGTAGCGTCGTACTCGCAGGCATAGTGTTTGACAACCCCCCACTAAGACTTGTAAGCAGTCGATGGACGCGGGTTGCTCAGCGATGTACTATAAACAACCCATTATACCGTACCAAAAGTCTTCTGTATTCTACAGAAGACTTTTGGTACGGTATAATAGTAGAAGTAAAACAATAAATATAAATAATACAATAAATATACATACTTTAATAAATCAGCTTCAAATTTTAAGATATGCTAGTAAAAAAATTATATATACATATTTGCACGATGAATGTATTAATTATGCAACAAATAAAAGCTCCTTTAATGTACTTCTATGCCAACATTACCGGAGGGGAATTTATGACTTTTTTTTCTTTATTCTTTAAATATTTATTTATTTATAAAATCTTATGGATATACGTATGAATAAATAAATACTTGATATACTATGTATATATATAAGACAATTCGTGTAATTTATAGGGAATCGGTGAAATAAACGTTTGTGTTGCTCTGAAAAAACAAAGTTTTATTAGTATAAATTATTTGTACATTTGTATTTTTTACTTAACTACACCTTACAATAATCACTAAACATACCTGAAAAAACAAAGAAACGACATTAAAAGTTATTACACTTGTCGATTCCCTTTATTAGTTATTTTATTATTATCCGATTGTTTACGTGTTTTACAATTTTAACATTTTACTGACGCCATCTTCGAAACCGTCTGCTTTATCTACAGTCCACTCAAATACTTTGACAGCGCCATCTATCAAGTAGCGAAGTAAATTGTTTCTGCTTTATCGACTAACCATAAAAGAATTTAATAAACAATAACAAAACTTAAAGAAATGTAATTTCTTTACAACTCCTCCCCCAGGGCAGAAAATTTCATCGAAATTTTCGGTAACAATACCTAAACTTACTTACAATTATTATAATAGTTATAACTAAATCACACTCGTTGTACATCATGTTCTTAACTCGGTTCTTTATTTAGGAACTGGAATGAGCTTTGTGACGTGAAAAAGGTTTGACTCGGATTTTCTGTGTCCTGTATCTATTCTATATATTGAAGATGATATTTTTTCTTCAATTTTAAAAGGTCCAATCCTTAGCTCATCCAGTTTTTTCCTATTTAATTTATGTCCATTCTCAACATATACCAAATCACCCCTATTAAAACTATAGTCTTTTCTTTTTCTGTCAATCAACATTTTATTATAGTTATGAGATTTTATTGTATTTTGTAACGCTTTTTTCCTATCTTCAATCCATTCCTCTATTCTTTTGCCTTGTTTTAATTCATTTGGCACAATTGTAACATCTGTCCCATCTAGTAGGTATCTCGGTGCGAAGCCGGTGACCGTATGCTCCGTGTCGTTGTATTTACTTACGCAGTTATGAGCAATTGTTGTCCATGCTATGGTGTTAGGTTTTTCATTTATCTGGCATCTTATTTTGTTGACCAGCGTTTGATTTAATCGCTCATTTAAGCCATTTGAAAATGGTGAATTTTCTGCGGTGAAAACTAGCGCAATTGATTTGTCATTCAAAAACGTCTTAAGTTCCTTTGTATTTATTCCAGGGTACTGGTCTGCGAGAATAATATCGATATCATTTAAGTTCGTTATATTACTAACCAGTTTTATGAAGTCCTTTGCATTCTGTGTCTTCGAGGTTAGTATATATGCGTAACGAGTGAAGTGATCCACTAGAAGATGTAGATATCTCTTCGTCGACCGCGAGCCTCCGAAGCCTCCAATTGTGTCTATGGAGATAATTTCAAATGGTTTTGTGGCGGGTCCTAAGTGTGACACTAGGCCATATTTAGCTTGTCCTCTTGTTTTATTCTTTATACATATATCGCAAGTTTTACAAATATTAATTATGTTTGCTGTTAATTTTTTTGCTGTATATCTTGTACCAATTGGTTTTTGCATCTGTCTTACACCTATGTGACACATATTTTCATGAATATTTTTTATAAATTTTATACTGAAATCTTCCGACAGTATTATTTTTTCATGTTTTTTTACTTTTTTATGAAATATGTTGTTTTTGTATGTCAAATTATTCTTGTTATCATGTATATCTTTATTTTTCTCTTGATCTGTGATGATATCTTCTAATTTTACCAAATTTACTATTTTTGATTGTTCATCAATATCTTCATTTTCATTCAGTACCGGGTTTCTGCTTAAGCAATCTGCTTCCAAATTTTCTCTACCTGGAGCATATTTTATCTGAAAGTCATACTGCGATAAATAATACACTAGTTCTCCCAATTCTTCATCAGGTCTAGATTTAACATTCATGTTCTCCAACGGTTTGTGATCTGAATATACTGTGAATGGTTTCCCTATTAACCAATATTGCCAATATCGTACTGCTTCTTTAATAGCCAGACATTCTAAGTATATTGCTTTCTTCTTCTTTTGGGATTCATTTAATTTTCTTGAAAAATAGGCTACTGGCTTTTCTTTTCCGTCTGGCTGAATTTGTTTTAGCACTGCTCCAATACCTTCCAATGATGCATCTGTGTATATATTTACTGGCAAGTTTTGATCATAAATTTCCAAGATGGGTTGTGAGCAAAGTAAATCTTTTATTTCTTCAAATGAATTTTTACAGTCCGTTGACCAAACTTGGAAAAATCAAAAATTAATTTATTTTTGATTTTTCCTCAGTAAATTATATAGGGGCTCTAATATAATTGTGCTCTTGGGTATGTATTCATGGTAGAAATTAATTTTCCCCAAAAATTGTCTGACATTTTTCAGAGTTTTTGGCGTAGGGAATTCTCTTATTGAAATTAAATTATCTCTGACTGGTCGAACTGTATTATTTTCTATTATGTGTCCAAGATATTTTACAGAATTCGACGCAAACGTACATTTTGTAAATTTTAGTCGAAATCCTTCTTGTTTTATTGCTTCCAGTAATTGTGATAAATGGTTTATATGTTCATTATAAGACTTTGAAAACACCAGGATATCATCTATATAATTAACTGTAAAATCAGTTAATTGATGTTTTCTTAGTATGTTGCTCAGGATTCTTTGAAATATTGCGGGAGAGGTTTTCAAGCCGAAGGGTAGACACGTCCATTGAAAGTGGCCTTCTTGTGTAACAAAAGCTGTTTTTTTTCTGTCTTCAATTCGCAGTAGGATGGACCAAAATGCAGAGTTAATATCTAATGTTGAGAAGTACTTGCAGTTTCTTGTTTTTATTACCAAGTCTTCAATTAACGGGAATGGTTGAGCTTGTGGTGTTACTATTTTGTTGAGATCTCTGAAATCAATACATAATCTGTTTCTTTTATTATCTTCTTTCTTAAAAGCTAAAGTTACAGGTGCTGCAAACGGGCTGTATGATTCTTCTATAAGATTTTTTGAAGTAATTTTGCCACCTGTTCTTCTATCTCTTTTTTGTCCTCCATTGAACATCTATAGGGCCTTTTACTACAGTATTTGTCCGTTAGGAGGTCGATATGTGCTTCATAGTCTCTTACTGTTCCAATGTCGTATTTATCCTTCGCAAAACTCGATTTATATTTGTCAATCAGTGTATTTATTTCAAATTCTTGTTGAGCATTTAAATTACCCATTTTTATCTCAAAATTTTTTTCATTTACATGTTGATTGAAATTTATAGAGAATTTATTAGAGTAAAATTGTGCATTACTCTTACCTTCCTTAGAAGTCAATTTCTCATTCAGTTCCATATCAGTGTTGTCTTTGGTTTTTTGTGTGATTTCCAGGTTTTCATTCTGAACTAATCTAAACTCTTTTAGCATGTCTAGTCCAATAAGGAAATCATATTGAAAATCTTTTCCATCCACAATATACACGTCTCATTTTTTTTTCTATGTTTAGTATTTTAATCTTTATTGTTGTCAAACCTCCTGTACTCTTCACACCATTAATTGTTACTAAATTTGCATTACTAAACTCTCTTTTTCCTTCTTCTTGTTTTAGTTTTACTAATTTGGAATTAATCAAGGACACATTTGATCCTGAATCATATATGCCAAAAACGTTTAGTTTTTCATCTAATGTAAGTTTGACTTTGATTAATGGTGTGATTGTTAGTTTTTTGGATCTTTATCATTTAATTCAAGATCTAATATAGTATTTTTTATATTCTTGTAGTGATTTCTCTTGTTTTCTTGTTGCTCACTTTTTTTAAACCAGCATTTTTCTTCTGGGTGATAACGAGTTCCCTTGTTCAAATTTTCACAGATTTTGCAGGCTTGATATTTATCAGATTTTCCTTTATTTTCAAATGTGTCTCGTTTTGGTTTATAATAGGTATGTTTATTTGTTGTATGCTCAAATTTACCAATTTCATTGAAAAGACTTGCAGTGGATGTAATAGATTCCTTATCAATTTTGCCCAATATGTAATCTGGTAGGCCAGTTGCGATAAGATTTATCATCGTCTGTGTATCTATGTGTTTATTTACCTCTAATAACAGCCTTTCCTTTTTCGTAGCATATTCCAGTGCTGAACCCGCTTGAAATTTATAGGCAAATGCATATTTAACCTGTGACCAACCTTTATTTCCGTATGTCTCAGTAAAGTTATTTTTCCAAACAGTCCATTCTGAATTTACAGTGAATTTTATCAACATACTAGTGTACCAATCATGGCATTGTTTCTCTAGTAGATGCTTTAAAGTCTCAATTTTCTCTGTATCCTGTAGTATTTCGAATCGTTCACACTCATTCTCAAATTCACCTATCCATTGATTCACATTGGAATTTTTTCCTGAAAATTTCTCAATTAAAAATTTTTCAGATGTTTTTCCTAGGTTTTTATTTCCAGACCCGACGTCGCAGTTTTTGTGAACTAGTGGTCTGGATTCCTCTGCAATTTCATCTAAATATTGATCTCCAAACTGCAAATTTTCGCCTTCATCTAAATAGATTTTTTTCAATTCCGGAGATAATGGAATCCACAATTTACGTATTTGATGTCTTTTTTTTAGAGAATTCTTGACCTTCGTGAATACCTCTGTGCTCACAACTCGTGTGTTTGCTTGCAGGCTTCATTTCGTCCGGAACATTATAATTACGTCCATCGGGTGTTTCAATTGAGGTTATGCAGATTACAATTGTTTTGCCATCACTTGCCGCTAATACCGCAAAAGTAAATCTTAACTTCTCCATTTTCTTTAACTAGAAATGTCGTTTTATAAGACAATTCGTGTAATTTATAGGGAATCGGTGAAATAAACGTTTGTGTTGCTCTGAAAAAACAAAGTTTTATTAGTATAAATTATTTGTACATTTGTATTTTTCACTTAACTACACCTTACAATAATCACTAAACATACCTGAAAAAACAAAGAAACGACATTAAAAGTTATTACACTTGTCGATTCCCTTTATTAGTTATTTTATTATTATCCGATTGTTTACGTGTTTTACAATTTTAACATTTTACTGACGCCATCTTCGAAACCGTCTGCTTTATCTACAGTCCACTCAAATACTTTGACAGCGCCATCTATCAAGTAGCGAAGTAAATTGTTTCTGCTTTATCGACTAACCATAAAAGAATTTAATAAACAATAACAAAACTTAAAGAAATGTAATTTCTTTACATATATATTTTAATATATGTATACTTTATGTAAGTGTTAATTGTATGTTTCGCACCTACCAACATTTATCTTTCGCACCCAGGGTTAACTGGCAGAGAATGCCACATGGCATTTAGTCCGTCCTACGTCTTTACTTTAAGGTGTTATATTTTTTTATAGGATAAGGGTTACAAACGAGCACATAGTCCACCGGAAGGTGAGCGGGTGCGTTGCCACCCGTGTGGACTAAGATGGAATGCCTCGTTTCCAGTAAAAAGGGTCTGTGTTTCTCTACACTCACCATACAAAACACAGCAATGTTAGGCTGCTACTTTTAAAGCAAAGATAGCCACCAAGCACGGTCATGAGCCACCTGCATCCATCGGCTTTCTCCACAGTTATAGAAGTAATATCTCCACTACTTTTGTAACATGTAATATACCCACCACTTTTGTGTAATATTTGATGACGATATATCTGTGGTAATACCAAATCCTTATCGATCCTTGACGGTATATAATAATGAAATGAGCAAAACTATATCTGACATTATAAAACGGTTGGAAATAAATATGACTAAAACGGAATACCTACAATTTTATAATCAACACAATAATAAAACTACTGATCTATTAATCAAACGTGACGGTTCTGTATTAATTGAAAGTAATGAGGTAAAGTGTTTAGGTATAATTTTTGATAAGAATCTTACATGGAAGTCTCGTATACATACAAAAGTTACATAGTAAAGTTAACAGCTACGTATATACGTATTGTTACGGCCTATGGTTGCTCCCTTAAAGGATCCAATCCCCTGGGGCCCATGAGCAGAAGACTTCCCGAGCAAACGTAGGTCGGGCCTCAATGTGGCCACGTGGAATATCTCTAATTACACTAGAATATATGGGGGAGCGTTATACTACGGCCAGTCGACCGGAAGGAATTTGGACGAAGCTTACTTACCTCTATCCAAGGCGACTGGTCCCTCCGGAGTCGGTCAGGTCGCATGTGGTTGTGTAATGCAAGGGAAAGAATGGTGATGTGGTGTGTATCTGGGTGTGACTGTTGGTGATTGAACCTAGACCTTGGCCGTCGGCAGCAGCCCGAGCGTCGACACCGCTCCAACTTGAGGGGGCCTTTCGAGGTTATCCACAGTCACTTTCTTCTTTCGTCACGTTGACAGTCAATTAACTCTATCGTACGATTTACTAACTTACAGAAGCCACTAACTATCGCTGGTTATAAGGTTAACACACAAAACGCACACGGAGTTTACAGTTTATTAAAGGTCACTACCGTTTCGCGTCGCAACAGTTAATTCTAGAATATTAGAGGCCGCACTAGCTAATATTGCTTAATGCACTTATGCAGATTCTGAGTCAAACACAATGAGTCCCTGGGAAGCTCTCCAGCAAGAATGCGCGTCACAATGATAGACCGTATATTTACTGGCCGCGCCGAATTATTCCGAGTTCCCTAACAGAATACAGCGTGCCAATCGTTAGCACCGCTTATGGACGACTGAATGTCCTTGGGCGTTTTTCGCACGACCGAAAGTCAAACCGGTATGAATGCACCGAGCCGAGCGCCCTCTCGCGTCAATCCTTGAAAGTGTTTTGCGCGAACACGTATTATGACGCCTAGTGAACGTAACTGATAAAACAAATGTTTTATTAGCATACCACGAATGAACACAACGGATATCTTCATTTTGATTCGCAAACGAGGATAGATGTAGATGTCTATAGGCCACAGCAACCACTTACCATCAGTTGGAATGTGTGCTCGTTTGTCACCCTATCCTATAAAAAATATTTGTTATTATAGCATTGATATTATTATTACTCTAAATAACCCAATATGCTATGTGACATCGATCGAACATCTAAATCGATCCAGATAACTCAGGGAAAGTCATAACAACTAATGCGTTATTTTTTTATTGCTGCACTGCCTGACGAGTTAACACTACAAAATGTATCTAAGAACCATCGCCGATGAATCACCAATCCTATATAGTAAACCGTATTTAAATTGGTCTAATCGTTTTGGAGATAAATAGGAACATTTTCTTGCACATAAAATATTTATTGCAGCACCCCCTGGTGAGTTGACACCATAACACTTATCTAAAAACTATCGCTGATGAATCACAAATCCTTTATAGAAAACCGTATCTAAATCCGTCAAAACGTTTTGGAGATAAATAGGACCATTTGTTTGCATACACAAACAAAGAAACAACCTCTCACACTTAATGCATACATACATCTTCTCTGTTGATTTGTGGGTAAAATTAATTTTGACAAAAATATTAATTATCGTGGGAGACATCCGCATAAACTTAAGTTACTTACGATGCGCACAACTTTATATAGGAAAAAAAACTGCTATAAAATGGCTATAGAAATGTACACAAATAAATAAAATTGAAGTGTCTGTTTGTAATGTCAAAATAACATCTTTTACTATATGAAACTGTATAGGGCATTCACTTATAACAAAAAAAAATTAAAAATTTTCGTCTATCTGTCTGTCCGTCGCGCCGGTCTGTCTGCCTGTCTGTTTGTCCCGGCTTATCTCGGAAATGGCTGAACCGATTTTGACGGGAATTTCACTGGAAGATAGCTAATATCATAAGGAGTAACGTACTTTTATTTTAGAAAATCAATTAGGGTTCCACGCGAAAAATTCAAAGCCTATGAAATCCAACCGTAAAAAATTCCACGCGGACGAAGTCGCCGGGAATAGCTATTTTATAATAAATTGCCAGAAGACATTAAAGTCTGACCTTGAATATGTTTAAGACTTAACTTCAACTACTCTTGGAATTGAGTAATAAGATATTATATTTTAATTAGATATATTCTTAATTGAGGATAAATGTATATCTCAATAGGCAAAAGCATCCACTTACCATAAGGTGGACCGAGTGCTTGTTTGTCAGCCTTCTCAAAGGTGACAACGCATATTTAACCTTCTTTAAAGTTGCCTATAGATATTCACTTCAGTTGTATACAAAAATACATTTAATAAACTAATCCTATGCATTTAACAAGATTGCTAACATTGTTTAATAAATGTTAGTTAAAGTTAGTGTCACTTGTTCCCATCCTAACAAAAAATTGCACGCAATGTAATTAAGCTTGCGTGAAAACGGCAATTCAAGTATTAAAACTGTGCAGTGTTTTACAACTTGTGAGCAGTTGACCTAAAACTGACACGGTCAATAAACCATGTATGAGTCTAAATAGAGATAGACATAGACATAGACATAGGCATATGTTTTATTAGCATCAATACAGGCACAAAATATACATTTAGAAATAATGAGACATACATACAAGATAGTTGAAAAACATAAATAAAAATAAAATAAATCTTAACAAGAGTGAGTGATGTGATGCCAAAAGGATTCCGTCTCAGCATATGCTACCACAGATACTGCAGCAGCGCTGATTTTCAGCGGAGCCCTAATAAATATTGATTCCGTATTGCGCCCACGACTATATCGGTAATAACATAAACGAAAAATAATGAATCTACCATTCACTCAAAGTAAATATTTCCAAGTGTATACATAAAGTATTGTATATTATATTAAAATTATTAAAAAATACACATACGTAAATATATCTATACACACTCACACACAGAACATATGTATAATATATTTTATTATATATTATATACACATTAAACTATCCCTATGATATGTTTGAAGTAGCATAAGTTGTAGTAGTAAGTTGTTTGAAGTAAGATACAGAACTTTAGAATGAAAATCAAAAAAAGAACTAAACTAACTAAATGGTTACTTTCGTATTTTGTAATGCGTACACCAACGGTATGGAATAATTTGTCGGCGTCTGTCTTTCTACCCGAATACAATCTGGGCGTCTTCAAGGCAAAAGTGACTTTTGTTAGGCTAAGACAGTGTGATTTACCATTTAGAGCCCCATCACAACTTACCTCAAGGAGTAATTGATGTCAAGCACTGGTTAATAAGTAATAAAAGAATCTGAGTGAGGAGCGTGCTGAAGCGGGTATCATACGTTATGGTTGTACCACGAATGTGTCGGTTCAACCGGTGTAAAACCACTCTCCCACAGAATACAGCCATTATAATACACATTCGTATTTATTGTATATTATAATATACAATAAATACGAATGTGTATTAAATTGTAAATAATAATAATAATAATAATTATTATTATTATTATTTTATGTTAAAATTCAATTGTTACGAGCTTGATTTCAATTAGTTTCATCTTGAATATGGTAAAAAAGACCCACAACACATTTATCCAAGCTCTCAAATCAAGCGAACAATTATGTAAATTTTAAAATATTCTTCGAGAATATCAGAGCATATACTGGAACGCTTATGCCTATAAATGTCTCAATTTGTGGATTATTGTTTTATTTCCTGCATATAAAGTTACCATTTTTACAAAGATTATAACGAGCACACAACCCTAATAATAGTAAGTGGATATATGATCTACAGATACTGCCATCTATCTTCTAGTAACAAGTCACATTACAAATGTTTTATGGCTCCAAAAGACTTAGATGGAATGCTAACTACCCATCATTTACCATATGGAACGCAGCAGGATTGTTCTGCTCGTTTACGCTAATATTCTGTGCGAACATCTGTAGGCACTGCTGACCGTATTAGTAAGTATAAGGTCGCACTTATTTTTTTATGGAGAAGGCTAAACTCGGAGTTTTCCTAGGAGATTCATAACGAAGATATACGGAGAAGATCCAGAGTAACCGACATATCCCAACGCATCTTTAAACTAAAGTGGCGATAGACCGGCCATATAGCTTTGAAGAACCTACACCCGATGGGA